TGGGCAAGGCTGAGATCCAGACCAAGCTCATCAAAGTGACCTTGGGAATGTTGCATTGGAATCACTGAAATTTCATTAAAATGACCCAAAGAATTCCTGGATGTGGCGCTGGGTGCTCCAGGCTGTGGGCAAGGTTGAGATCCAGACCAAGCTCATCAAAGTGACCTTTGGGAATCTTGGCAATGCTACTGGAATTGATGAAATTTCGTTAAAATGACCCAAGGAGTTCCTGGATGTGGCGCTCTGGGCAAGGCTGAGATCCAGACCGAGCTCATCAAAGTGACCTTGGGAATGTTGCATTGGAATCACTGAAATTTCATTAAAATGACCCAAAGAATTCCTGGATGTGGCACTCGGTGCTCCAGGCTTGGGACAAGGTTGAGATCCAGACCGAGCTCATCAACGTGACCTTGGGAATTGTGGGAATCTTGGGAATGTTGCTTTGGAATCATTGAAATTTAGTTTGGCGTTTTCACGGTTGGGTTCCATGATTTGCGGGATCCCATGATTCATGGATCGCATGATTTGTGGATCCTATGGTCCATGAATCCCATGATTTGTGGAATTCCATCATTTGTGAATCCTGTGATTTATGGAATTCCATTATTTGTGTGGATCCCATCCGTGGGTTGTGGATCCCATGATTTTGGAATCCCTTGATCTGTGGATCCCACGATTTCTGCATTTTCCTGTGGAAAAAGGCAACAATCCATTGGCAGTGAAATGAGAGGAGCTTATTTGTGTCCGTATCTCTTTGGGCTGGAATTCTGGGATGAATCCCAGTGCTGTTCCTGTCCTAATCCCGCTTTTCCTTGTCCTTTTCCCATTCCAGGGGGACGTGTTCAAGACCAGGGGTGGTGGCCAGGCCGTGCAGTTCACGGACATCGAGACCCTCAAGCAGGAATCTCCCACCGGGTGAGTCCAGCCTCTGGAATCCTGGAATTCCCAAAATTCGGGTTGTGGAACCTTGAATTTGAGCTTCTGGAGTCCTGGAATTCCCAAGGTTCCAATGATGGGACCTTTCATTTGGGCTTCTGGAATTGTGGAATTCCGGGTGCATGCATGGAACCTCTACCAGGCCGGATGATCCAGTGGGAAAATCCAACTTGAAATCCCATAAACTTGGAGAAACCTATGGTTGCTGGAGCTGCTGGATCCAAGATTTATTAAGGAAGAATAAAGATGTTTTATAGTGTTGGAATGTGGCAAATTCCGTGAGGTTTGTGCTGTAATTCCACAAACTCCCGTTCCAGGCGGAAGCGCCGCTCGTCTCCTCCTGATCCCGACCCTGCCGGGGACGCCGCGGACTCGGAATGGACGGATGTGGAAACCAGGGTGAGCTGGGAATGTCACCCTGGGAATGTCACCCTGGGAATGTCACCCTGGGAACGTCACCCTGGGTCCTGGAATTGTGGCCTGGGTTGGGTTGGCAGGGAACTTGAGCTCATCCCAATCCAGCCCTTCCATGGGCACTTCCCGCTATCCTGGGCTGCTCCGTCCAGCCCGGCCTTGGAGGTTCCAAGGCTGGGGATCCAAACCCCTCTGGATGAGGATCTGGGAATGCTGGGAATGGTGGGAAGCAGCGGATCCTGACTTTGGTGTGTTCCCAGTGTTCCGTGGCCGTGGAGATGAGGGCGGGATCGGCGCTGGGACCGGGATTCCAGCACCACGCCCAGCCCAAGTGAGTGCTCCTGGAATCCTTTCCTGACAACTTCCAAACTTCGGGAATGCTTTCCCCCCTGGCTTTGCTGCCCTTCCCACATCAGGTTTGCATTCCCAAACAGAACATCAGGAATGGCAGTGGGAATAGCCTGGATTCCCTCTCCTGCCCCTTTAACCTCTTGCTCACCTCATCCATTGAAAAATTCCAATTTCTCAGGATTGGGAAATTCCAGTTTCTCAGGACTGCAATTTCCTGTGGGAGGAGGCAGTTGCAGTGGAATTCCTGCTAAAATTCCAACTGCAAAATACCACTAAGGAAGTGTGGAGAATTCCCTCTTTCCCAAATTATTCATAAGGCATCCCTGGTAATTCCAGCTCCATGACCAGCCCAAGGAAGTGCTCCTGGAATTCTTTCCTGACAGCTTCCAAAATTCAGGAATGGTTTCCCCCCAGCTTTGCTGCCCTTCCCACTTTGGATTTTCATTCCTGGCTGGAATAGGGTTGGGAATGGCAGCAGGAATGCCCTGGATTCCCTCTCCTGCCCCTCTAACCTCTTGCTCATGTTATCCATTGGGAAATTCCAATTCCCCATGGGAAGAATTGGAATCCAACTTTGTGTGCTGCTCCTGCTGCCTAAAAATCCAAGGAAAACACCGGATTTTTTTGGAGTTTCCTTGGATTAAATGTTGGATTTTCTAGGAGGTGGGTGGTAGTGCAAAAACCTGGGAATGAGGAGTTGGCTGCTCCCAAAATTCCTCTGGATGAATCCTGAAAGTTCTCTGTGGCTCTTTCCCGTTGCAGGCGCAGGAAGCCCTGAACTTTTCCTGCTGGAATCCCGGATTTTCCCAGCCTGAGGAATGCTCTGCTGCCACTGCTCCTCAGGAACTGCTTTGTGTGCTCATTCCCAGAGGTTTTTAGGGAAGCTGGGAAATGGCTCCGTTGGTGATCCCAAAGAACTTCTGGATGGATCTGTCCTTTTCCATAGATTTAGGGAAATCCTAAAGGTCCCTCTGGAATTTCGAACGGAGCTGGATCGTTACAGACAGTGCCAGCAGGCTTTTCCCTGGGAGATTTTTCCAGTGTTTTCCCGGTTTTTTAAATCCCAAATCCATCTTTTCTGGTCATTCCCTCTCTTTTGGGAGACCCAACCGCTGCTATTCCGAGCTGCAGTCCAGCACTTTAAGGGTGTTTTTGGCCATTCCCGATTTTACTGGAAGCAGGAAAACCTTGGGAATTCAGATTTCTTCTGGCAAGAATTACTTTGGAGTATTTAAGTGTGTCACTGAGCTGTCAGAACATTCCAGAGCCACCCAAAACCCTGGGAGCAGTGGGAATTCACATCCCAGCTGCTTTGGGGATTCTGGAATGTTTTCCATTGTGGGAATGGGGGGGAAAAGGGGATTTTTTTCACAGATGGGGTGAGAATTGGCTCTCTTTATGTTCCCTGCAAAATGTTTAATAAATCCTTTTATTCCCAACCCTCTTCCTGGTTTTTAGGGAATTCCAAGGGGAGCAGCTTCCCTTCTGGCTTTGCAGAAAGCTGGGATCAGAGGCTGCGGGATCTCTGGAATTTCTCCAGGAGCTCCAGGTCCTTCCCCTGCTGGGACTCAAGGGGGGGAAAAGGGAGAGCTTTTCCAGCCCTTTAGGAATTCCATGAGCTCCAGAGGCAGCTCCCGGCTGGATCCGTGGGAAGCAGCTCTCCCGGAGCGCCGCTAGATGGGGCAGGAAAACCACGGGAATGGCTCCTTGGAAAATCCCAGCCTGGGCAGCTTCCCTGATCCCAAACCTCTTCCTGCCCCCTGGAAGAACTGG